ATTATACCACTAAGCAAAGAAGAAGTTAAGGCTAGAATTAGAACAGCATTAAAAATGAGATGGCAAGAAGTTTGGAATAAGGAGGAGAGAGGAAGACATCTTTATCATATTCAAAATCAAGTTGGGGTTGAAAGAGTTCATTTTGGTAGTAGAAGAGAAGATACAATTATTACCAGACTTCGCATTGGCCAATACTGCTTTCAATTCTTCTCTATATAAAATGAATAAGAATGAGTCTGGGAACTGTAGTCTGTGTGGATTACCAGAAACAGTAGAGCATGCACTATTACATTGTCCTGCTTATGATAATGAAAGAGCATTTCTGTTGGAAGAATTAAAAGAAATAGGGATAGAAAATATTACACTTAAAACTTTGTTGAATAATGTCTTGAATCATTATAAAATATATAATGCTTTAATGACATTCTTTTAAAAAGTAGATCTGTTTAACAGGATTTAGAAGGGTTGATTTTTTTTTAATACATTTTTTTTTTTTAGTTCTTCCCATTCCATCAATGGTCCACACTCCAGCCCAGTAAGTGGCGGGAATGCACCTATCGTATGTTTGCCAGCCGCCATAAAACTCCAACAGAAGAAGAAGAAGAAGAAGAAGAAGACACCTCATTGTTTACTCGCTCTGTTACAGGAAGTTTGACAGAGGTGGATCTGTCACAGAGAAAGGAGAGAAGTTTAGAAAACTTTATAGTGTTTTTTTACACTATAACACACGAATGTGTTACAGTTTCAGTTATATACAATTCTCCTGAATTATCGCAGGAATTTAAGAGTCTTTGTTCTATGTAATGACTTTAGGGGACGGACACAGGAGAAAAGCAAGATCATGCGGTCACATCAGGTCCCCGCAGCATTTTAAAGTCCTCTACATATTTAGTACTTTATATACAAACAAGTGCTTATTTTCAGCAGAATGATGTCTGCACATAGCAGACATCTAATCTCAGCGATTAGATATGGATTTAACGGAATAAGGACACATTATTTAAGGTCTGACACGGAGTTCTTTCGGCTTTTGAGAGCTTCACGCATGTTGGTCAGAGGTATTTATGCACATATGTATTTGTTTGCTATTAGAAGTGATACGCACGTCTAGGTTTGCAGATATTCTATTTGTTTACTAATGACCAGTTCTCTATGATTTGCATATTTCACTCATTGTCTTTATTTCAGAGTTGAGTACCTCAGTTAAAACAATACAGTATGACCTGAAAAAATCAGACATAACTAAGTCTGGCAATAGGAAGTTATTCTTTGATACTCATGCAATGGTTCAGCTGCTTGAGGAAAGTGGTAAGATTTCTTGTCTGTGTTTCTAAATACTGGCTAATTCCAATTCAGTGATTCATCAGAATGTTCTGTGTCCTTTCAGGTTTCGTGACTCAGCAGGCAGAGGTCATTGTCAATATGATGGTAAATATCACAAATTCAAACATGGACGTTATGTACGGTGACATGGCTACCAAAACGCAGCAGGTGAGATTTTCATTGTCCTTTCATGCTTTTCTGATTGTTTGAGTGGACCATTATTGATTTAGCTAATGTGAGGTGTGGACCAGAGCTCTCATGAGGTGTTAGTTTGTGTATTCAACTTTTGATGAATAATCTGTTTGTTGTGTAAATGACTGTCAGATTCATGGTTGGCAAACGATTACCAAAGTTGATTCTGGTGTGATGTTTTTAATGTACACATTAAAAAAATGACTCTGTTGTTGTCTATGCAACTTCCCTCATATCAGAGCCCAGGTCAAAGAGGTCAGTTACTCTACTTAACTAGTTCAATTTTACAGGAAATCATGTTACAGAAAGTCATGTCTCATATTGCTGCTGTGAAAAAGGACATGATCATTCTGGAGAAGAGTGAATTCTCAGCATTACTAGCAGAGAATGAGGTGAGGTTGTGTTGTGTGATCTATTATCATCATCACCCACTCCATTGCTATACTTGAAAATCATTTTTCTGTATTCAGTGTGATTATACACTACCGTTCAAAGGTATAGGGTCAGTAAGATTCTTTCGTTTTTGAAAGAGGTCTCATGCTCACGAAGGCTGCATTTATTTGATCAAAAATAGATATATTTTTACAATTTAAAAATGTTAAAAAATCGAATTCTTGGGTTTGCAAAGATGAATTTTCAGCAGCCATTAATCCAGTCTTCAGTGTCACACGATCCTTCGGAAATCATTCTGATATGATGATCTTATTATCAATGTTGAAAACAAGTGTGCTGCTTAATAATTAAAATAATTATTTGATAACATTTTTCATGATTCTTTGGTAAATATAAAGTTAAAAAGAACAGCAATTATTTGAAATAAATCTTCTGTAACATTGTGTCTTTTGAACAATTTAATGCATCCTTGCTCAATAAAAGTATTCATTACAGTTTTTCTCGATTGCTAACACATGATAACTGATTCATTTGGCCCAATTTTCCAAAACATTCATACAGTTCTCGAAACAAAGACACGTTTCTCAAAACTTTTAACACATTTCACCTGTTTGCACACACGTTCCAATTTGCTCAGTGTTTTCTGCAAAACTCTACACAAAAACACCATCATTTTGCACAAGTTTAACCATGTTCTCATTCAGAAAACACAATATAATTAACTCAAGCATCAAAAAAATGAACTCAAACAGCACACATTTATCCATGTGTGAACATTAAGTCGCAAAACTGATGACACACAGGTCAGAATCCTAGGATAATGCGCACAGGAGCACAAGTGATTGAGTTTTGGAAAATTAATCCTGATAGTGGGAAACAAAGAGGAATAGGAGGGGGAAATAAAAATGAAGGGGATGAGGTCAAAGGTCATTTGTTCCTAATGAAATACAAAGCTCTAGAGTTGACCATGTTCTTCTGCATGGACTGACCATGAGGGAAGTTGGCCTACGGGCTCATCTACAAGGTTTCAATACTACTTACACAATACACTTACAATATAACTACAGTACATAGTAGCAGTACTTCAGATGAGAGATACTGTAGTACATGTTGTACACCCTCAAACTCATTACTATTGGATTTATTTGTAGCCAGCCAAGTATGTACTGTATTTGTGCAGAACTGAGAGACGACTGTCTGGGGGAGGCAGAGAAGCCTTTTGTCAGAAGACTTAGAAACTGCTATAACAAATAAGGATACTACCAATACTGTAAGGCAATTTGGCAGAGGATGCTGAATGAATGAAGTTTTTTTTTATTTAGGAATTATTTATTTATTTATTCATTCATTATTTATTTATGTCTGTAAAGTAACTGACAGTATATTCCAATGTGTGTGTTTACTGTATATTCAGTTGTTTGGTCTTTGAACTTTTCTCTTCTAATGCTTTTCATCTACTGTAAGATCTCTTTACAGTAGTGGAGTGAAAGTAAACTTTTCTTAAAGTTTATTGCTGAATTTTACTGTATCTGCACCCCTCTGTTTATGTCGTATACTGTAACAGACATTGACTAGCAAAAGGATTCCTGTTTCCCAAAAGGAGGTTTTTGTAACAGTGTTTTGAATTGTTCTCACTAGTGTTCTCTAGGCCGTGAAGTAGTCTGTGTATTTGGCAGGTTTGTGTGTCATCTGAGGCCAAAGTTTGAGTCCGACAAAAGAGAACATGTTTTTGACTAAACTATTTGATTTTGACCTGGAAGTTTGAAGTTTTCACTAGTTAGTGTGTAGTTTTGAGATTGTGTTAATAGTTGTGAGCAAATGGTGAATTGTTTCATAAATTGTGTGTTAGCAATCGAGAAAAACTGTAAAGAAAAAACAACAACTTTTGAGTGGTAATGTAAGTACCGGTATATATTTATAAATCTTTCTTTCTGCCGTTTCTATATTATCTTGGTGAATTTGAATAAATATAACATAATAGTTGTGAAATAAAAAGTTTGCCATTTGTTTGCCAATTGCTTTGAATTTACTGTGTAACAGCTTTGTGCATTCACCTAATGAAGAAGTATTATGTACTGTATCTTAATTCTTTTACAGAAAATCAAGGTTGAGCTATCACAGCTAAGAATACAACTCACTGTAAGTAAATGAAAAAAATAATTTTTAATGAAAAATTTTTTTTGCTTTGCTATTCAGAGCTTGTCAAAGAGGCATACATAACCCTTATACCTAGGTCTTTACTATGTACAATAGTCATTGTAGTTTTCCATTTTGTTTTGTGCTGCAGGATGTGATAAACAAAAGGCGTGCAGATGCCATTTTGGATCTGAATGTAGAAAAAAGCTGTGTGAAGGTGTTGGTGAGTACAGTGAAATAATGACTCACTAGAAGAACAGGTTTGGAAGCTTCACCGTCTCTGAAATCCAAAGAGTTGTTGGTTATTTGAGTTGTTGCTGGCAATAGAGATGCTTTAATTGAGATGTTTGCTCTTGGTACAGACAGCCGACTTTGACAGAAAGCTTATTGGGACCAGGAATGAATTGATAGAAATGGTGAGACACGCCAGTGTTTAGGACAATAATGTCGTCTTGATTTTTTGTATGAAACTTTTTAAACTGGATTTTCTTTCTTAGCATTCTGAGCAGGATCGTCACATGACACAGACTAACATGAAAATCGACACAGAAGTGGCGGGCCTGAAGACTATGCTGGAGTCACATAAACTGGATACTATCAAATATCTGGCAGGTAAAAAGAAAAGTTATATATATATTTTTTTTAATATTTTGATATTTCAGTATATTGAGATTTTTCCACCACTGGTCTCTGTAAAGATATTTTTACACAGCCACAGAATGTCCTTGTTGTATTAATCATACAGATTCAGAAGCCAAGATGAACTTTTATTTTGTCATTAAGTCATTAAAAGAACAGGTTTGTAGGAGACTTCAAACTTCAGTATTTATTTTGATTCGTGCTTTATTTTTGTAATTCTTCTAGGTTCAGTATTCACGTGTCTCACAGTCATACTTGGATTCTATCGGATATGGATGTAAACATCAGCAGATTTGTTCTTCCTGAGAAAATGTCTCATCAGCCTCGGGTCATAAGAAGAGCTGTGGTATTCACAGCTCCTGTTGGAGCAAATGTTCGTTCCTGCATTATTATATCAAGTTCTGTTAGGAAAAGTAAATCACATTTACATACCTAGATAGTACCTACATAGTGCTACATCTTGCAGTAGTTCATGATGTTCATTCTTATTAAAACCAATGTCAACAGATGAATGAATCCCAAGATAATACAGTACACAAATATGCCAAAGCAGGTGCCAGGTATGTTATAAATCAAAGATTCTTGCAAATAAATATACATATGCTTTTTTAAAAACAAACAAACACACATAGTCATTTTTTAAAACACAGCTATTAACTTTGCATTTGTTTATGTTGTGCATCAGATAATGTGGCATTTTTATGTGTGATGTAATGATGCCGTTTAAATACACTGCATGTTTAAACGTCACAAGTAATAGTGCTGTTGTACTGAATATTGGCACAGCTGTGACAAACAGCTGTATGATGTCAATGAAAGCGCATTGGGTTGTTTTGGTAATGATTTAAGGAATATAGTACATGTATTTGTCAAAATGATTTCAATTCATGTTGAAAACTTGATAAGAGGTGAGAACAAAACGCACAAGATGTACAAAAAAAGTATATATTTTTATTGTAATATGGTTCTGATTCAATGTAAGTCACAGTTATTGTAATTAATAAAACATTAGTCTTGAATAATTGAATAGTTTGTGCACATTCTGAGGTCAAAATAAGAAAGTTGTCGCAGTGTCTCCAGGACACTAGAGGGCAGACTGATGAACGCAGGGCTGAACGATGAAGAAGAGCGTGCCGTGCTCCTCAAGCTCACGAGGAAAATAACATGTAATGTGTTTCTGTGGTTTGGTATGTTGCGTTTTGCTGTGGTTAATTATGATGTGTAATTTGCCTGCACGCATATTAAGTTATAAGATTAATTTATCCATCGGTCAACTAATTTAAGCTGCTTGTAGATATTCCGATAGCAACTCCCAGCTGGTTTCACGGCAACTTATTAGACTGTATAATGTATTAGAATTATGAATATTGACTGCAGTTAAAACAAATCTTGTCTTCAGGGTAGGAAGACATAGCAGTTGTATATTTTAATAAAAATGGGATTCACTTCTAGGAAGGTCAGCGTCATCCCAATGTAAAAGCTGTCAATATTCCGGGCCTTTAATGACAGCTCCGAGCTGCATTTATGGTTGGATCAGAGTGAAATATAATATTGTGTGCTGTTGTGGGGAAGGATAATCGCTTTGATATGTTTGGTCTTTCCTGTAGTATGAAGAATGGAATATTGAACTATAACGGATTCTCTTTAGACCCAGAAGATGACAGATGTTTTCAGTAGCAGCAGCGAGGCAGTGTTTCAGCGCACCGTCAGTGTGTCCTTCAGCGCGACGCGCAGCCATGCTGGCAACCAGATAGCTGAGACCTGTCAGTTTATCACTAGTAATCAATTCAAGAAGGCAAGACAACATCTTTAGAAGTCTTCTGTCTTGTTTACTCACACCAAGTGTCCAACCGATCTATTTAGGCGTCTGTTTTGATCACAGGTAGCCTTACAGTTTCCAGATGACCTCCTGCCTGATGCAGTCCGAGTCTCTGCCGAAATAGAGAAGGAAACCAAAGCCAAGACATTCATTTTAGGAGACACATCCTATGGCAGGTAAGAACTGTTGTCGTGTACATTACACTACGTTTTCACAGATGCTTTTATCCTGAGTGGCTCGGGTTCATTTTGTGTGGCTGCACAACCAGAACTCTGATTTCTGTTTCTTTTCTTTTCAGCTGTTGTGTGGATGAGGTAGCGGCAGAACACGTGAGAGCAGACTGTATAGTGCATTATGGGCCATCTTGCCTCAGCCCATGCAGAAGACTACCCCTTCTGTATGTGTTTGGCAAGAGACCTATTGATGTCCAGCAGTGTGCCGCAGCCTTTAGAGAGCTTTATCCTGACTGCCAAAGTCATGTCATCCTACTGTACGATGTCACCTATTCACATGCTATAGGTAACTGTTACTGTTTAGTCTATGCTCGTGTTTAGTAAAGCTCATTTTCATGAATGTGTGCATGAAAGTTCATTTGTCTCATCTCTCCTCAGGTGATCTCAGGACACTTCTGTGTGATATCTACCCCAATGTTGTGGTCTCTCTTCTAAAAACAGATCATTCCTGTGGTGCTGAGCTGATTCAGGACAGCTGTGTGGACACTGATCACATAGATTCACAGGATGATAGAGTCATTTTGAAATTTGGCAGACAGTTTAGTGTAAAAGCAGGGCAGAGTGTTGATAATTACAGTATGTTTTACATTGGCCAGGAAGGCTTGACTCTTACAAACTTCATGATGACCTGGAACCATTGTGCCTTCAGCTCATTCAATCCAGAAACACACACAGGACGAGTGGAATCGGTTAAAATCAACAAGGCACTGATGAAACGCTATTATGCCATCGAGCGGGCCAAAGATGCCAGTGTGGTGGGCATTTTGGTGGGCACCCTGGGTGTCGCTAACTATCTGACCATCATAGAGCAGCTAAAAGACATTATTCACAAAGCAGGCAAGAAGAGCTATACGTTTGCTATGGGAAAGATCAATGTTCCCAAGCTCGCTAACTTCTTGGAAATTGACGTTTACGTGCTAGTTGCCTGTCCAGAGAACTCACTGCTGGATTCAAGTGAATTCTACAGACCTGTGGTGACTCCGTTTGAGATGGAGTTGGCTTGCAATAAGCACAGAGAGTGGACTGGAGAATATGTCACAGACTTCAGAGATTTACTGCCTGGTATGTCGTTGACTCATTTCAGCAAATCATTCTACAGAGCACTAGAAAAGTATTGTGATGTTGATATTGTGTCGTTTAATATATTTCTACTAAGAATATGTGACCCTGGCGCACAAAACCAGTCTTAAGTCGCTGGGGAATATTTGTAGCAATAGCCAAAAATACATTGAATGGGTCAAAATTATCGATTTTTCTTTTATGCCAAAAATCATTAGGATATTAAGTAAAGATCATGTTCATGAAGATATTTTGTAAATTTCCTACCGTAAATATATCATAACTTAATTTTTGATTAGTAATATGCATTGCTAAGAACTTCATTTGGACAGTTTTAAAGGCGATTTTCTCAATATTTAATTTTTTTTTGCACCCTCAGATTCCAGATTTCCAATTAGTTGTATCTCAGCCAAATATTATCCTATTCTAACAAACCATACATCAACGGAAAGCGTATTTATTCAGCTTTCAGATGATGTATAAATCTCAATTTCAAGTTTTGTGGTTCAGGGTCACATATGGACCTTGAATGATGTCTGTATATATAAATGTTATTGTTCTAGGCCTCTAATAGGAAACATATATTATAGGTGGAAGCAGTCATGTGGGCTTCCCTCAACAAGACCAGTCTGCCATTGAGGAAGAGACCACAGATGTCTCTCTAATCACAGGAGCTCTGCGAACATGTTCCACCACCTCATCGGAGATCATGAATGGCAGATCAGAGTCTTCTTCACTCGTCCCGAGAAATCAGACTTTCACTGTGGCCAATACAAACACAGCAGGTATAGAGTCAGAGGCCGTACTGAACTGTAGTTGCAGTAGGAATTCTTGAACTTAGTAGCTTGAAATTGACAAGTTTGAGTCATGCAAATGCAGAATATAATCATGATCATTTTGTTTTGTAGCATCATTTTTGTCTGGCCGTAGTTGGCAGGGACTGGAGCCCAAACTGGGGCAGACGCCAGTGGTGAAAGCTGTGGAAGGACGGAGAGGCATTGCCATCGCTTATGAGGAGGAGGGTGTGGGAAATAAAGATGCTTCAACACCTCTTCAAAAATCATTAAAGTAATTTATTATTGGACTGTCATAAGAAATCATCAAAGGACTACTTTCACACTCACAGCATATGAATTGCATCAATATACTGAGAAGGATGTAATTGTCTGTGATAATACAGAATATATTTTGGGAACATGTTTTAATTCCGTTGAAAAAGGTGTGTTCCTGTTACTGGCCAAAAATCAAGGAAGGTAAACTAATATTTGTTAAATATAAGAATGTTAAGTTCTATTGTGCTACCAATGGTAGCAACTTATAGAAAGCGAATAATAGAAAAATGTAAATTATTTCAAAAGTGATTTAATGTTGTATTGTTTGTCTTTATATTCAAACAAAATAAAACTCATTCTCCTGACTTCAAAAATATGACTTCAATATGTGAAATGTGGAACAATTACCGCACAACCAAACTGGGATAGTGAAGCAAGTTCTGGCATGAACTTGACAATATTAATTAAAAAACAGGCCCTAAAATACTGCAGGTTTCTCCCAAATGATCAAATCAACACATTAGTTGTAACTGTTGGATGAATGATTCATTCACATTGCTGATCCCCATTAAGTGCTTTAACAAAGGATGATGGGAATATGCCAATCTTCCCGTTGCATTGACCCTCAAGCCACTCATCATTGACTGAAAATGAAACAAAAAGTCAACAGAAATAATCTTCAGAATGCCTTAATAGTTCATACTGTATTTTATGCCCATATTAGTAAATTACAATTATCACAGTTTCAATTCCTACCTTTGGAAAGAACTGTGATGATGTTTCCCTGTTTGAAATCCAGGTCTTCAGGGGTAGAAGAGTCATAAGAGTACAGAGCCACCACTTTCTCATGAGGCACACTTTTACCCTTTCAGACAGCAGTTTTGGGAAGTGCCAGAAAAGAAATGAACAGCAGTATGTCTTATTTAATATTACTATTTTCAAGTGTAGTGTACAGTAAGCTATATTATGCTGTTATTTCAATCTGTGTGAGCATAGATGAGTCAAGCTGTTGTATTTTACCTCAGTCACTGAACACCACAGCGCAAGATGGTTATCCTTCACACTATTCCACACAGCCTCCATTTCAGAGTCCTCAAGATTCACTCTCTCATCAACACCTTCTTTGGCATAACTAAAAAATGAACATTACAACTTTTTTTTCTCTCTCCAGAAATGTTTCAATATGGTGCTGGGAACGTTATAATTGGTATAGTTACCATAAAGTTAACGTTGATGCAGGCAGCTTAAGTTTAGAGCTTATCGTCTGAAGAATGACGCCGTATGATTGTCCATGTGCAATTCTGACTGCTATGGTGAACCGAAAGTGCACTTTCACAATGCAGCCTGAGAATTCCCTGATGATATTAGTCTGTGAAGAATACAGCAGAGCTTGAGAAATAATCTTATTAATAATAATCAATATGTTCATGATGCCATAAACATAATAAGGCTGTATCTGATCAAAGTTGGCCTTTCAATACATTATGTAAGCACTGTGTGATAGCTATGTTAGTTGATATCCATTTACTATGAATAAACTGTGATTATATCATGAATATGTAGGGAATACTGAACCTCTGCATTCACAGTCTTCAGGCCTTCTGTACCCACTGGTCTGCTAGGCGGTGCTCTTCTTGGTGGAGCTGGTATATCATCATTTTCATTTAATGGTTCAATCTATAAGAGGTCACATGTGATATTTCTTAATGTAGGACACAAAAAGTAATTTAGCTCAAATGTTAGGATATTATCCATCTAAAAATAAACCACTCAACTTGCATCGTTTACTTTATGTAACAAAAACATTTTATTGTTCTCATAATTATGAATGCCTGACTCAGAGGTATGACTTTCCCAGGTGCACTTGAAGTCATCAAAAGTGGATTGTATGATACATATTCGATTTGTTACCGTGTCCCTACTGGTGTTTGAAATACTGCATATTTGTTCAAAATACAGCTACTGTACCTGCATTGGTTTTGACATCATTGTAACAATATCCAAGGGTTCAAGGAAGTTATAAGGTACAAGGCCCCGCTAGAAATATCAAGAGAACAAAAAAATAGACAATAGGGCTTTATTATCGGTGCTTTAAACACACGTTGATTACATTAGCATTGGACATCAGAATGTTCTCTTGACAGTGAACGCCGGCTCTCACATGGAAAAAATGTTCTGTTCCCAATGTACTTTCCTTTATGATTAACTTGTTAAATCTACCAAAAATATACCTTCTCATTGAAAACAACTGATGCCCAGTTGTCAGCTCCTTTCTGAAGAACGAAGACAATGTTGCCAGGCAACACAGCCAGCTCCTCTTTGGTCTCAGGGTAAAACTCATAGAGAACAGTGTGTGGCTCACCTTCAAATACCCTGATGATTATGTAATTTACATTTATGTAAAACAAGAGGACAAAACAATACAAAAACTCCATAAATTGCAAGCATATTTAAGTTTTAGTTAGAAGTTAAGATGCATTAAATAGTGTTTTCCATGTCCATGACCCTAAACATACCTTAGTACTTCTGGGACTTTTGGTGTAGATGGAACATTGTCAACCTAACAATACACAAATTAAAGAAATGGCCTGTGGTCATTAAAGTAACAGTTTTGAGCATATACATTAAATGTGTACCATTAATGTATACGCTTATCATTAACATTATCTTCAAACCTCTCTCTGTTACGCTTATTTTATGCTAATGTTAACATGTTAACAATTTCATTACTTACTTGACTTATTAACAACACTACTTACTTGAGGCTGAAGTGGAGCAAACCCAGAAAACTCATCTGCTGGTACAATAGAAGACACAACCTATAAACAAAAAACAAAACACTAATCTTAATCAGTTTGTCTGATTTACTGGCCAAATAGAAACTGGATCTCTTCGGTAGCACTGCACACTGTACTGATGTGATAATGGGGATACCTTGGCTTTTCCAAGATAGTCCCTTTTCTCCAGCTCTGCCACATAGTGCTTATTGGGTTTGAACAGCAGCCCAGCTCGAATCTCTACCAAAGGAAAGAGCTTCTGCTTCTGAAAAGAGGAAATCACGGTGTTGATCAGTTTTTTTAAAAAATGCACTAAGACACTCACCACATACAGTTCATGCTGTTTGCACTTTGCTCATCAGTGTAATATAACTTGAGTTTATTTATTTTTTGATTTGTTTATTTATTCCTTTTTCAAGGGTATCCTTGGGCAACAATTTTAAAATGTCATATTAATTTGTCATTAAAATTCTTACAAAAATGTCACAAGAAGTAGAAGGATGACTAGTGACTAGTGTCTGAGTAAAAGACATCTGTCTTGTGAATTTTGTCCCCCATGCAGCTTACACAACTTCCCACAAAACCTACCCAGAAACAGTAATTATGCAACACCAAATTTCACCAATTTCTAATTAGGAAAACTGCAATATGTTACAAAACAACAGCACATATAAGATCATGCCCTAAGATTTTGTTGCCTCAGATACTAACATTAATTTAAAACCGTTTTAAAATTAATTTAAAATTAAATAATAATTTAAAACTAACGATTTTAAAATTGGTTTTTATATCACTGCAAAAACTGTGCAAATTATTCAATGACTGATGTTATGTGGAACACTTTTAGCAGTTACATACCAATATGGCATCCAGAGCATGGTCAATGTGGCTGAACTTGGCGTCTGCCTTCAAGCTTAGTGCAGTAAGAAGGTTCTCTTGAGGAAACGCCGGCCTCATAATATTTAATGTCTATCATCTATTACAAACCTCTTTGATATTTTCTAACTAGACAACAACCTCCGCAAACCCTTCAATCTGAAACTTTAGAAAGGAGCCCACACAAGTATATGAATATGTAGTTTGGGGAGGTGCTTTTCATATTTGTAAAGCACGAGTAATATAGTTGTTTGTTATTCACTGCTTTATTATAAAGAGCTTGAAGTGTAAGCTCTAAGTGCTGTTGTGTGTGAGCTGAGCTCTGCGTAAAGATGGAGGAAGTCATAATGTTAGGGGAACTAGATCATTATCATTATGGAACTGGGGCACTATCATTAGACTCTCTAACTGAACACTTATGAGTACAACAGACAGAGTTAAAGGCACACAAAACCCATCTTACCTCTCATATTAGTTTATGTGAATGACCTGCTTACAAATACTACATTTTGTCAGTATATAAATGAGTAAATTATGCCCTTCATGTTATTTAAAATGTTTATGGTGCACTTGCTATTAGTTATATCCCTAAGCATCACTTAACTGTCTAGTTGTTGTTTTTTTGCACTATTGTATATTTTTCATATATCTTTCCAAAGTACACACTATTAAGTTTACTGTTCCATACTGATGTGATATTGTTTCGCCTCAGGGGAGTCGGTGGAAGGACTGCGAGAAAATGACTACCTCTTGATTCATTCATGTCGGCAATGGACCACAATTACCGCCCATAGCCTAGAGGAGGGCCATTATGTCATCGGACCGAAAATCGAGATCCCTGTCCATTATGAGGGTAAGGCCACTCAGCTGTTGTAGTGCAGCATGTACTGTACATAGAAACGTATTTCCGACACTTGAAGTATTTTCAAAAAGAAGGCAAATGAAAGAAATGTTAGTCTGCTAGGATTCACTGTTTTCTTGCAACTTGTATTAAAACAGAAAAAACAAAGATCTGTGCTGCTGTATTTCTGCCATCTGCTTTTAATTGGGAGTTCATTAGCTAATTGGTCTCTTCATATTGACATTCCTCTGGCTATAGAGAGTGTCCAGTAGGCCACTTAAGGAAAAAAGACCTTCCTCTGAATTTGGTTCATACAGACCTAGTAAACTGCCTATTTTATGTGCTGCTTTTACTGTTGCAGTGTTTTTAGATAATTTGGCAAAATGTTATTTTATTTCAGTTCAACATGCCCAAATTGAAAAAAATTACATATTTCTTTGTTTTGCACTGATTTGGCAGAATAACATCTACATGAAATTATTTCTATTTTATATTAAGTATTGTATATATAATATGAAAGCGTGACACTGAGTACGTTTGCATGGACAACAATAATCCGATTTTAATACAATTAAGACAGTACTCTGATTAAGAATCTACCATGTAAACAGAGATTTTTGATTACCTTAATCCGGCTAAAGTCATATTCTAAATGAAACCGAAATCGAAGACGTGGAGTATTCCTATTTTAGTCGCATTACTGAAGTGCAGTATAGACATGCACACACCTTAATCACATTATTACCGTCGTGTAGGACTTTTCTCCCCATTTTGCGACAGGATACACACACGGCAGTGGTCAACCGTTTGACAGCAAATAAAAGAGCTTTAACACCCGTCATCTGTATGCACGTACTATATGTTTCTACGTGACATTCCGGAGGGGATGTCGGATGGTGTCACGTGGGGTCGTAATGACATGCCATTAATCGAACTATGTATAACATGTAAAACGGGAACATGAAAGGCATATTCTAAAAGCAACTCATGTAAACACCATAATCATAATATTGGCTTATGTAGAATAAGGTAAATAATTCGATTACTGGTGTTCATGTAAACGTAGTCGATGTCATGATGTTACAGAATTGCTTTGTTGTTTGTTACAGGCCAGTTTAAGCTGCTGGAGCAGGACAGGGACATTAGGGAGCCAGTGCAGTACTTCAACGGCGTGGAGGAGGTGGCCAAAGCATTCCCTGAGCGAGTTTATGTCATGGAGGAAATATCCTTCAATGTCAAGGTCTGGTTTTGTGCTTGCAGATTTAGACTTCCTGCACTAATGTATCTTAATATTGGCATAACCTAATATGCCTTTATCAGAATGGCTCTCAGGCATTGTGTTTGTAATGTGAAATATCTATTCAACATTTCTTTGACTTAATTTCAAAATCTGTAGCAGTCAAAGTTCTTCTGTTAGACTATAGTTAGACTACATTTGTTCAAACTGCTGTCGTCTTTCTCCCAGATGGCATCAGGAGAATCCAACGAGGACACAGAAGTGTACAACATCACGCTGAACACTGGGGATGAGCTGACACTAATGGGCCAGGCTGAGATCCTCTATGCCAAAACATCACGAGAAAAGTCACGCTTTAACACGATCTTCAAACGCATTGGCAAGCTTAACTCCATCAGTAAGCTTGGCCGCGGAAAGATGCCCTGCCTTATCTGCATGAACCACCGCACCAATGAGAGCATCAGCCTGCCTTTCCAGTGCCGCGGTCGCTTCAGTACCTGTTCCCCGCTGGAGCTACAGATGCAGGAAGGAGAACACACTATTCGCACAATTGTGGAGAAGACCCGGTTACCTGTGAATGTCATGGTGCCCAGCAGCCCGCCACGTAATCCGCATGACCTCCATTTGATCCGCGAAGGCCACCGATACAAGCTGGTCAACATCCAGACCAAGACAGTGGTGGTGTGTTGTGCGTTACGTTCAAACAAAATACTGCCAGTGCACTTCCCCTTGCACGTATCCACAGCACTGCCACGTTTACTGGTGCCTGAAGGGCTGCTTCAAGGAGAAGCCTGGCAGGAGACTGTGGTCCACCGCTGGTTTGCTTACTGCCAGGAGCAGTTCGACATTGACGACTACTCTAGGGCAGTCCGTGACGTGCGGGTGGACTGGATCGACGATGGCAAGAGCCCGAAAAAAAGTAGCGCAGGTGGAACGGGAAGTGGGAGCAACAGCAGCGGAAGCAATGGCTGCCCCTCTCACATGCATTTGCCAAGTTCTCTAAGCTCAGCCCGAGATGAGCTCACACAGTCCTTTCATCGCCTGTCTGTCTGTGTCTATGGTAACAATCTCCATGGGAACAGCGAGGTGAATCTTCAGGGTTGCGTTAGCTTATGTGGAGATTGTGTGCCAGCAGAAGCTCCGGATGAAGATTATCTGTTCCCTGAGCTGCAGGAGAGTTCTTCTGGCTCCCTTAAACCAGACGTGCCGTACGAGGAGCTTTGGTTGGATCAAGTTAAGAACGCTGGATCTGTGCTAGACCACATCGAGGGGGTCCGAAATTCGACTGTCTCTGGCTGCACGACTGTACTGCCATACCCCACAGCAGGTCCCACAACCGCCTTGCTTGGTGCAGATGTCAGTCTACCTCCACCTCCGGTGCCTCCAAAGTCTGAAGCTGTGAGTTCATTTATACTAGATTAACCTCAATAGTCTTTATTTGATACAAATATAAACATTTAAAGTTACTTGTATTCAACAATTGCACAAATCTACACTACCGTTTAAAAGTTTGAGGTCAGTAAGGATTTTTTGTGATAGATTTTCACAAAAGAAAAATCCATTTCAAATATCTGTTCATCAATGAAGCCTGAAAAAAAATCTTAAAGGGGTCATATGATGCTACTAAAAAGAACATTATTTGGTGTAATGAAATGTGTTTATGCGGATTAAAGTAAAAAAAAAAAACACATTCTTTTCCACATACTGTACATTATTGTTTCTCCTCTATGCCACGCCTTTTTTGTCGATTTTTACAAAGCTCATTGGTCTGAAAAGCGAGGTGTGCTCTGATTGGCCAGCTATCCAGTGCGTTGTGATTGGCCGAATACCTCAAGCATGAGATGGAAATGTTACGCCCCTCACCATACTGTGATGCCGTGTCCGGCCGGAGCGACGAGACAAAAACATTAAAACCCATTATAAACGAGGCATTTGTTGCATCCAGTGGGGACATAATTACTGATTATAATGACTTATACTGTTTTTTTTACGCATTGCGTTGCATTGCGCCACGTAAACATAAAACCCTGTCTGCATTTGTGATCGGAGAAATGACAAACAACAAGTGCTACTCCACACTGCCCACAACTCGCGTTTGAATCATCAATGGCAAATGGTAAAAGAAAATGTACTCACGTGAGTCAGAATGCTGGCATTTTAGTCTAACGTTACTCTCCCAGGATCAGTAAACAGTCCTCCATAAAATGTGCAGGCGATCCAAGTTGATGTATGACGAAGCGGATATCGTCCTCTTTTGGAAGACCAAACAAAGTAGTTTCACTTTCACAACGAAAAACACAGCGGCCTAGCGTGAGCGAAAGCCGTGCTACTCGCGTTTGAATCATCAGTGGCAAATGATAAAAGAAAACGTTACGTGAGTCAGAATGCCGGCATTTTAGTCTAACGTTACTCTCCCAGGATCAGTAAACAGTCCTCCATAAAATGTGCAGGCGATCCAAGTTGATGTATGACGAAGCGGATATCGTCCTCTTTTGGAAGACCAAACAAAGTAGTTTCACTTTCACAACGAAAAACACAGCGGCCTAGGGACATGGCTGCAGCGTCAACAATACTACATTTGGGCGGCGTTATGCAAATCCCGGCGAAGGAGCGGTGAAAACGGTGAAAGCTGATCCGGCGATCCACTGCACTAAGTTGACGTATTTCCTCAGCGATCAGCACGGATCAGCTCTAGGCATGACGAAGCGGATATCGTCCTCTTTTGGAAGACCAAACAAAGTAGTTTCGCATTCACAACGAAGCACACAGCGTCTTCACGACATGGCGACGGCGGCAACAATACTACAGCGAGAATAAAAGTTATGCTGCCTTTCTTTGCGTGAACATTTGGGCGGCGTTATGCATATCTTCCCACATAGTGAGGTAGATATGTGGGGGCGTGTTCGAACGAGCCGTTTTAGGTAGGCGTGGCTGACTCTTAAATTTTATAAAGAATATCTCTTTGGATTTGAGACTTTAGTCTTTGCAAATTTACAGATCTTCTTTATGCACCAAGAGCTTGTAACACTCCAAAGAGAAAGGAAAAAATGAAATCGCATCATATGACCCCTTTAAGTGTTTTCAGCATTGATGTTTCTTGCACACCAAATCAGCATATTAGAATGATTTCTGAATGCTATAGCGATATGTGAGTGAATTGTTCTTTTGGTTGAGGTAAGGGTTAATAAAATAAAGATTAATCAGTGAAATCAAAATTATTTTTCAAAAATCCTTAACCAGTAAAACACAATTGTAAAAATCACTGCTCGAGTGGAAACCCTGAATATCAAGTTGAAATTAAAGTGTTTTCAACTGATTTTAAGGCTCTTTGTCTGTTTTCCACTCTTAGACAAGGCAAAGTTTATTCTGTGCTTACATAGTGACTTATTTGTGTACTCTGTTGGTCAATCAGTACAGGTCTAATTATTTTCCAAGTAGAAACAAAGGTTACATTTCATGATTTCAAGGCCTATTTGATAAATTCACACAGCCTGTCTCAAAAGATTTGTATCTGTGTGTATTCACATTCATTAATAATGTAATTGTAATATTAAAATTTCTAGAGCCATACAGTTTTTTTTACATTTCTTGTTAACTTTGCAGGTGAAGGAGGAGTGCCGGTTGTTGAACGCTCCACCGATTCCACCGCGGAGCTCCAAGCAGACCGGCTCAAGCAGTGCCACAGTGCCATGCCCTCCTGCCAAGCCACGTCAGACAGACACGCGCTCCCCAAGCCCAACACTATCCTATTACTCATCCGGCTTACACAACATGTGAGTTATATTGACAATTTATAGTTTTAATTGACAAAATGGACATTAGTTTTATGTGAACTGCACTATTTATGACTGAACGATCCTCTTCTCCATCTCTCAATAGAGGTGGAGAGGGCGAGTCTCCGAATGAGTCCGATGATCAGAACCATGCTTGTTACCCATGTAACTGGATCAGACCAGATGCCAGTGAAGGCTCCAAGCCTCTCCCTTGCCTCAGTCCTTCGGTCGATGCCTCTTTCTCCCGCCTTTCCTGGCCAAACGAGTTCTGTGGTGCAGACTCGTATAAAGGTGAGGACTTTCCGTCGCTCCACTGCCGGAGTTACTCTAGTTATCCTCGGAAGAGGACCCCTGGTACTCCTAAGGCTTGTCCCTCAGGTTTGTTAGACTTCAGCAGGCGAGCGAATGGTGAGGGGGGCGCTGTGGCCTCCAAGGCTCAACAGGTTTCCCAGTCTTGCACCAAATCCACCAGCTACACCATGGAAATGTGCAGAGACAAATCTACAGAGGAATGTAACACTAAGCCAAACCAGTCCTGCCCTATCTTGCCTCCAAGAACCCCTAAATGTAACGATACAAAGAAAGATACAGATCCCGCTACTACAGTCGATGCGGACGCCCTGGAACTTGAGTCCAAAAGCTGCTTGATCGATCGACCGCATCACGGCACTACAGATGTGTTCTCCATTTCATATCCTGTAGCTACAGTGTCTTGGCAGCCACCAAGCAATCTATCAGGTATCTCCATTGAGGAGGTTTCTAAGTCACTACGGTTCATCGGTATGTCAGATGATGTTCTCTCTTTGTTTGTGCAAGAAAAAATTGATGGAAATTTGCTCCTACAGCTAACGGAGGAGATTCTGTCAGAAGACTTTAAGCTAAGCAAACTTCAAGTGAAGAAACTCATGCAGTTTATTAATGGCTGGAGGCCCAAAATGTAAGGCTGAACAAGCAAGCCAGTATAAGAGCAAAACACATGCAATGTGCTGCAGTCGCAAATATTGGACTTCAGTATTGCGTTAGACAGTTTTGTATCTCAATGCTATGCAGTCTTGTAATGATTTTAATAGCCATTTTGTTTAATATATACATGTATATTAATTGCTTTGTGTATTAACCTGTACCCATCTCAATGTAATCTCTCTGATCTTACGGTACCTGCACAACCGACTTTATTTGCTCAAACCCAAAGCCTTTGACAAACCTGAAGATATTTTGGCGCAATCCAACTGTGGCCTACGTTTCTTTCTACAATTTTGCTCAATAAAGACACTTGACTTGATTAGGTGGTTTTATCACTTACACTTTTGCTTTACCATATTAAGAAATAATATTATCCTTTACCAAGTTGTGACACCAAACATGGTGGCTGTCACACTAGCTCAGTGTAAGTGAAAATGCTCCCAGCACCATAATTTTTACACCAGTGATTAATAAGGGCTGATGTGTCAAAAAATAAAAGTGGAGAGGATGAAGTCTCACCCTGTCATAATAGATCACTTTGGCTTTGACAATGTTGATATGTATAGATGCTTTATTTGATGACTGGTTTCCTTCAGAGCAGTGCAAGGGGATATGACAACAGTGTTTCCTTCATCAACATGAGGTCTGTTTAGTGTAATCTCGTTAAATTCTGCAGTACAGCTAAACATTACTATAAAAGCATATGACAGTAGTTCTGAAATCCAACTTCACACTATGAAAAAGGGTTTACAAAATTTAGAATAACACAAAAACCTTGTATTTCAGTACTGTATGTTACCCACTATTTGGTTCAAATCCATGGTTCCCAGCCTATCCACACCCTGCCCAGTATGTTGGGGTCAGTTGCCTGATCGAGCAGGCAGTCTACCTGATCTTCAACACTCAGGTCCTTCTCATTGTGTCGAGCTCGTACGTTGTGCTCTTTTTCGCCTCGAGCAAGAGCCAACATTCCCTTGTACTCTGGGTTCTTCTCAAATCCAAGACAAAGCTCGTCACTAGAACATTAACAAGTCAACATGGTTAGAAAAAAGTCTTTCTGGAAAATACAAGTTTTTTTATTATTATATTTTATTTTGTCCATAAAACGATTTTTAAAACGATTACTTCACAAGAAGTAGGAAGAAAAATGTATTCATTTAATGCAAGTGAACATTATCATGATATGCTGCCAATGTAAATATTAAAATGGTCATTTTTATTTTCCAGACCTTGTGGCTGGATCTACCTTGTTATAACCGAGGGATTGGCTCCCTCTAGCTTCCTGCTAGCAAAGTTGACCTTCTGTAGAGGGAACCAGTTTATTTCTTTGGTGTTCACACTCTCTGTCCAGGTACCTCCTTTCTTCAGCTGCTTCAGCTCAAAGTTCTGTAACATGAGGAATAGAGCTGTCTTTCACAATTTAGTTAGCCTGTCTCTATGATAATGACTCAAGTTTTTTTATAGACCTCAACTCTTAGGGTGAAACTAAAAAAAAGGAAATTGTGAAACAGGTCTACAACGAGGGCAGATCACTTTGATGATTACATTGAGGGCTACCTGTATGTGACAATGAGGAAAGCGAGCTATTCATTTATGTTTACATGCTTCAAATATGCTTTGATTGAGTTCTTCTACCTTCCAGTCAAGTGAAGGCTCCTTCACAAAGACATCCATGGTGTTGAGCAGCAGGTCTGGGTCATCTCTGAAGGCTCGCAGTGAATGTACCATCACACTCTGAATGAGACCAGACTCTGCCATGGGTCGCATCAAGTTTATAGGAAATTGTGAAACAGGTCTACAACGAGGGCAGATCACTTTGATGATTACACTGAGGGCTACCTGTATGTGACAATGAGGAAAGCGAGCTATTCATTTATGTTTACATGCTTCAAATATGCTTTGATTGAGTTCTTCTACCTTCCAGTCAAGTGAAGGCTCCTTCACAAAGACATCCATGGTGTTAAGCAGCAGGTCTGGGTCATCTCTGAAGGCTCGCAGTGAATGTACCATCACACTCTGAATGAGACCAGACTCTGCCATGGGTCGCATCAAGTTTATAAACTGCCGTGTCAGCCTAAATGGCATCATTTCAGGCACTGGGAGGAACTACATGCAACAGGTTATTGTTATCAACTCTTAATCAAACAATCAAGTCAAGCTGTTCATCAATCTTGTATCTCTAAATTGGTACAGTAGCTCTTTGTACCAGTACTTGTCTCCTTACAGAATCATTGAAATGTCAGTTAAACTAATCAATACTAGTCAAAAAGCCCACCTGAGTGGCTGATCCAAATGCATGACCAAAGTCGATGCCGATCATACCGCCAGTCTCTGTGTTAATCATGAAGTTAGAGAGATGCCGATCACCAATGCCCAGAATCCAGTGACTGATGCAGAGCACAGCATGAGAGCAGCTGAAATGGGACCTCAGCGAAAGGAAGGCTTCAGGTGTGGTACTCATCCTTACAAAAGCACGTCTGAAAACAAGCATTCATGCCATCATTAATTCCTTTTAGAATTAGGACAAACGTCAATAAATTACTACATGATAATCAGTAAAATTGAAATGAAATACTGTAATATATTGCAAAATAAGTGAAATGCTGCCATACTTTAACAAGTCATCAGGCACCATCTGCTCAATTCTCCTAAAGTTGTTCACAGTGTCCACACGTTTTGCTTTCCTGCAGTGAATCAAATGTAAATGCATTAAGAAGTATTATTTATAGGTCAATTTATACATGCTCTAAAGCCGTTGTAGAATGCGGAGTCACTGACCCATGACAAATGTTAAAATGAAGTGATGACTTACTTGTACAGTTCAGCATATCGTCTAATGCCGTCCACCTTCCCAGCAACTTTACTGATCCAGTCATCATAGGACTCATTGGGCCTAAAATACATTAAACCAAGTAACGCTTGATTCACTCAGTGCAGGGTATGAAAAGCATGATGATGTGTTTTATTTGCTGGAATAAGGAAGGAATGTTCACTTTGTGATTGTCTTCTGTTCCTCTTCAGTCCTTCTGCTGGAGAGGAAGTCTTTCAGTGTGCAGGTGTTCTCCATCCACTCAATCAGGCCGATCCTGTAAAAGTCAGCATACATTAAAGACCCTGTAGGACCAGTTAAAGACAGGCCAGCAAAAAAAATGGAGTCATAAGAAGCCCATCCAAGTACCTGCTTGTGATGGGAATGACCTGGTAAGTGCGGAGTGCCAGGCTCCGCTGAGAACAGGCAGTGTCCTGACTGAGAATCATGTTCATCACACCAAAGAGCTGCTCGATGCGCTGGTCCTGTCGCAGGTCCTCGCCACCCTTCACTAGGAACGGATAATCCCGCTCGTCATCTCCTCGTATGATTATGCGCTTCGGCCGCCGAATAGATGCCATAACCTTTACCTTAGGTTGAGAAGATTAACTGTTACACACTGAAATAATCATCTCAAAATGACATCTATTAATAAGAACGTTATTTCTCGTACCCTTTCATCAAAACCTGTGATTTTTGCATGATATTCTGGCAAAGGCTTCGATTGGCCATCATATTGACCTGTAGAAATCCAGAGCCAGAGAAAAAGACAAACACTTACACTAAATGCAGAACTTTAACGAAGTGACATTATTTACAAAAAAAATGTTGAACTAACCTGGTACCTCCAGTTCGTTTTTGAGTGTTTCCATTTTGAAGCTGCTGAGCCAGGGTGAATATTCCTTCATGTTCCCTGGTTCCTTTTGGAAACTTTTCATTGACATAGCCAGGCGGTCCACCTGCTGAAGGAACTCCTTATCTTTCCGCTTTTCATACAACTTGGACCCACCAGCACCAAGCAGCTTCTCTACTTCTTTACAGTATTTCTGCAACAAGGACATAAAATGTATCCATGTAAGAAACAGAGAAACCAGCAGAGGCCTGACTAATCTCATTATGGTTTTATTTCGATTAATCGTGCACCCCTAAGTATAAGTATTGCAAGTTGTGAACCTGAATAAATTTCCTTCTGAAAGATCCAAATCCTGGAGACTTTGAATCACCAAGCATTCCAGCCAATTCCTCATAAAGCTGCTTCATTTTCTTTTTGTCCATGTCTGGTTTGTCCAGTTGATTCTTCACCTCATCCCACCAATCCTGCCAAACCATTACTTGAGAATCAAGGCTACCACAATAGCGCCATAAAAATGTCATGTCTCAGTAAGTTAAATGTAGTATATAATCACTGTGCCAGTAGCAGCACAAACTGAAACTGCAATCTGTTCAGCTTGAATAGGTCTGACATCTCAAAACTGGCTCAACCAATGGATCTTTCAGGGAAAAAGGAATTTATACCTTGAAAAGCATTTCAGGGTTAGTAAGTTGCTGAAGGGCGTCTACAAACTCTTGGACGACACCCCCTTTATCCAGTAATGACCTCAGCCTGGAACACAAACAACACATTGTCAGTATCAGCAAGGCCAAAGCCACTTACAAAGCCTCACAGACCTTTACATACTTTTCAACAAACTCCCGGTTCCTCTGACCACTCGCAGACTCCTCAAAGGTGTAGCTCTCACTGCTGATCATGTATGGATAGATGAGGGCTTGTGGATAGCATTCTGCGATCTCCTCTATAACATGCTGAACTGCTGTCGCTTGTGGTTTGTCAAGCAGAGCCATCATTTGACTGATCCAGCCAATCAGCATCCAGCAAGGCACACTAACAACCTATCAGGACAAAAAAACATGAGAAAAATGAATACTTCTTGAAGAAAATAAAGGATAAAGCATTGTCATGCAAATTCTTTAACTTCGCTAAATGTAAGAATTAAAAAATATATAGTTATTTATGGTTATTTAATTATATAGTTATTTAAAAGATCTAATCTCGAAATATTGATTTAAGTAGCTTCAGCGTTTCCGGACACTGATTTCTGCTTTGCATCAGGCTTTATTTTGCTATAATGACTGGCTGACTGTACTGTACATGAGCCCTAAAGTCAAAGCAAATGATCTTCTCTCACCTCTC